ATGACACGCCCTGTTACTGGTGTCATATTCATGTTGACTACAATTCCAAAATTCCCAATGATGCCACCACTGCCAATAACAAAAGAATAAAAATCATAATTAATCACTGCAGTCTTATGCGGAATTAAGCTACTCAAAATGGTAATAATATCACCCTATTAATAAGCATCTTTTGTGCATAAAAGATGTTGATATTCAATATGCTTAGATTCACTACAACCACTGAGTTTATCTACAACCCATTTACATGTGCAAGCTACAGAAACCTATAGACTATCATTAATTAAGTTAATACCATTACATGGGAAACAATTCCACTATTACCAGCATGTTCATAAATAGTATTAGAGCAGAATACTAGTTCTCAGCCTTCAGAGAAGTGAACTGCCTGCTAACTAAAATCATACACACTAATTGTGTTCTGTGCAAGAGGAACAATGAAATCATGAAAGCTCAAGTAAACAACAGTGGAAGTTTGATAACAGTCAAACTTCACTAGGCAAAAATAAAGGACATAAATTTTCTTACCCACAAGGTCCATCCTCAGATTGTACCATGCCACGTATCATGTTCTCTCTAATCTCTGGTGAAGCCAATGACATGTCCTTCAGCTTGATAGCTGCATTTTTCTCCAAATTCTCCTTTGGATACCTTTGCCCCTCAACTAAGACACAGAATTCCATCGGTGTATCATTCTTCCTACCATTTTTCCCCAAATCCAAGCAGGGAATGTTTTTGTACTGGATCTCCTTGTATTTTTCACTGAAATAATCAAGAAGTCTAACTTTCCTAGGTGGACACTGGCCATCTATATCTACAGCATCAAATGTAATATCTCCTGCATTCTTATCAGTCAGCCCCTTGATGATGTACTTTTGCTTGGTTTTCCGGTGAGTCACAGTAACTTTCAATCCCCTCAATACATCCACAACCTCTCTCCTGAACCTAGTGAAATCTTTTAAAGTAAAACCCCTTATCTGCTGTTGGAGAAAATCTATAACTGGCATGCGCTTATGAAATGCCAAGACTGAGTAGTCAAGACACAAAGCAGGACCCTGGGAAGTCAGCCTTAAGCTATGCTGAAACCCTCTAAATGCAGCAATACCATGTCCAAGGTCATCGTTTTCATTAGATTCAGCAGGGTAAAAGTTTCGCCCAACAGAAACCAAGCACCTACTTGGATTTTCTTTCATCACCAAATCCATACCCTGCAATATATCACGAGGGATAGACAACACATGGCCACTCAAGTACTCCTTCAACTTGCGAAGCTTGAGCTCATTTACAAACTTTATGGTAAATATGTATGAACTGAACCGTGTGTCTTCTTCCGCAGGAACCTCCACCTTAAATGATCCAGTGGGCAACGGCACTGCACTGAAGATGTTTTTTTCACCATCATATGCCGTACTTAACAAGGGAAAATCCAAAGGATTATCCGAGGATAACTTCTTCCTGATTGCAGAGAGTTCGTACTTCGACATTTTCACAGGACGGCCATTCTTAGCAGGGTTCTCTGGCTTGACATCAACATCATAGTGCCTTATAATACTCTCAGGATTGTACGAGAGATTAAAATGGTTGGCACGAAGCCTAGTAGTTCGGATAGCTTTTGTGCCTCCATTATCAGGCCGTTTCACTGGGAGTTTTTTGTCTGTATTGTCCAAAGAAGATGAAGAAGGTGTTTGTTTCGAAATTTCCAGAGCTTGCACTCTGGGAACAAGAGTATCTGTGAAGAAAAGAGAACAAACAAAATGTGTTATAATCACCAAGCCTCATTATTTTTGTGAATTCGAATGGTTAGACTAACTGTAGCAACAAGCTAACATTAAATAGTAACCCAAAAAAAGAAATTCCACTCAACACATTTATGCAGAACTCTTAGTTTTCACATAACGAGACTCGAAATAAAATTGTTTATCTAAGATAAACAGTCTCTTAGTAAAATCAACCAAATGCTTGATTTATCACCACAATAATCTCTTAGTTAGAGCAAAGTAGTGTAAGCAATAAACACATAATTTATCACCACAATCTCATTATCTACATCCAATACACAACACCTGATAAATACATCATGAATTCAAAACAGTAAAACTTTATCAGATCAAAATTAGGGATTCAAAATGCAACGGCTTACTCTCCAAAGTAAACATTGCCTCACAGTCTATGATATGATCAGTTGCACAAGTTCCAATTGTATCTCAAAAAGGGCCCAGAATGAAGAAGAAAAAAGCGTACCAGGAGTAGGAGAATTGATCGGGGCTGGAGATGCAGGAGCAGCCGCTCTGGGTCCCCACGCAGCCACACGAGGAGTAGGAGAGTTGATCGATGCTGGAGATGCCGGAGAAGCCACTCTGGGCCCCCACGCAGCCGTACCAGGAGGAGTAGGAGAGCTTATCGGTGCCGGAGATGCAGGAGATGCAGGAGAAGCCGCTCTGGGCCCCCACGCTCTGTTGGGAGCGGAAGTGCTCCATGGAGAAGGCCTCCCTGGCGGGCCCCAACTCTGATTCGGTTGTTGTTGTTGATGATACTGCTGCTGCGGCGGCTGCTGATGCTGCGGAGGTGGTTGTTGATGGTGATACTGGGGCCGCCCACCATGACTGCCATAACCACCTCTTCCTCTCTCTCCTCCTCCTCCTCCTCCACCCCTATTTCCACTTCCTCTGCCGTAGCCACCATAATCACCTATGTCACCACCACCACCACCACCATTACTGCTGCCTCTACCTCTTCCTCTTCCTCTACCTCTGTTTCCACCGCCACCTCTTTCCATTGGAGAAACGGGAGCAAACTCAAAAATAATCGAAGGGAAAACTTGCCTCAAATCGGTACTCTCTGAATTCACAAAAACAAAAAATGTAGGGACTGTAAGCGAGAGGGGAGTTGGTTCCTTTATAAAGGGTGTTGGGAGAAATGACGATCTTGTCCTGCGCGATTGTCTTAGTCACGAAGGAGTCAACCAGGAAGGAGACGTGTGAGTGGGAGCGGTTGGAAAATGGTCTTGGATTTTTGGTGTAAAGTCCAGAAGCTTCGATGGAACAGAGAGCGTGGGTGGGTCCCGCTTTGGCACTTGCTGTGAAATCGGACAAAGGAAAGGAATGCTTGCCTTAGGACGGAGGATTTAATGACATTCTCTTTCTATCTCATCTTTCTTTTTTCTTTTTTCTTTTTTCTTTTTTTTTCTTTTTTTTGGGACTGATTTCTTCCTATTATTACGATTCCGATTTCTACAAAAAAAAACGAGAGATTCGATTTCAGGTTTTATTCTTATTATTCGTTGTATGAAATGAATATTATATCTAATCAAGTAATTGACACATTCCTTAAATTATTAGTAGCCTTTCCACACGCACTTTCGCACCTGTTAAAGGCTTTTTTAAAAAAATTTAAAATTTATTTTAGAATTAAAAAATAATAATGGGTAATTGTGTTCCATAATAATAGGATCTATTATTTGATTTTTCTTTTAATTTTAATTTTTTAATATAAAAATGTGAATTTACCATATTATTCTCATTTAATTAATAATTTTAATTTTTAATATTTACATTAACCAATGGCATTTTCTGATATTTTGAATGTTTCAACATTCTCTGCCTTTTGCTTTATATGTATAAAACCTTTTTTTAATCAAAATTATTATAAAAACTTTAGTACACTTTACATATAATAGAACTTCTTTTTTTATATCAATATTCAATTAACCTATATCCCTCATCCAAGGAAAGAGCAATTCTTCCTATAGCCTTTCATTAATATTATTCTCAATTAATCACTAATTATCGTTATAAAGAGATTACGTAAAAAGCTATCGTAATTTAGAGCTGATTTGGAAGTGTTTATGTAGAAGTAATTTTAGCATAATCACTTTATGCTAGGAGCGCTTTTACATAGAATCATTTTATTGTTTGAATGCCAACATAAAAGTGCTTTTATGCTAAAATATTTTCCCACTTACCCTCCGTATATTATATCCAAAGCATTCACTAAATTCAAACACCACTAAACTCTTTTTCCACCCTCCAATACTATCAACGCACCCATATGTGTTTCTTCTTGCACCATCTTCTTTCTCCATAAATCATATTCATCCTCCTTTGGCATCCATCCATTACAAGGTACGTTAATTTTATATATTTATGCATACGAATTTTCGAGCTCGTGCATGCCTTTCTTTGTATTTTTTCCCTCAGGAAATTCATAAGCCAAGACTATGATTTAGGGTTTTTTTTAAAGGATTTAGTGTGTTGTGTGGTTTTTGTTTTTTTAATTAATTGAATATCGGTAATTCGAATTTAGAATCTCTTTCAATATTTGAAAAAGAAATACGACTCAAATATTTTTATTTAATTCTTTAACTTAGGCCTTCTGTTTTGCAAAAAGGTGGGTGCAATGCAAACATAATATCCTGGGGGTTTGGAACAGCTCCACTCAATTACAATATCAATTTGCCTTGTTTTATTCAACTTCCCGAATATAAATATTAAAAAATTCGTTTTGTTTACATAATCATGGTTGACGTCGATGATGTTGCTGTCATGGCCTTAGGTCATGCATATGATTTTCATGCCCTTTACAGATATATATGGGCAGTGAGCTTGATGACCCAGATCAATCTTCTATCACACTTTTATAAGCCCAACCCAAGCCAATAACGTCCAAACCCCAATAACCAGCCAGGGTTTGCAAATCCAATCTTCTACCACAACCATGATCTGTCACTTGGTCATATTTTATTCACAACACAACTAACCTTTTGGGATTGAAAAATTGTATTAATTTGAAACCACATTTATGGGTTTAACATGTCGGATTATTTTTCAACTGCATGCGTGTTAGGACTCAATATCCTACATTAGGAAAAATTATAATATTTTGGATTTTTTTAGAGAAAATTAAGTTTTACTCAGCAAAACAACCGATCAATAGACTCAATTAAAGTGGTCGATATTATTATTTATGAGCATATTATCGAGTCACTAAATATTAGTAGATGAATGAATGACACCACCTCCAAAGAAGGAAAGGACTTTCACCAGGTTGGTGTCGATAGAGTGGTCGATGAAGACGTCGAGTACAAAAGCGTGGTGAACACATTTTCTTCATACCTCATTTTGTAAACGTAAATTCTATTCTAGTTCTTTGTGAGTTCAAGTTTGATGGTGTTGTGAAGTTGTGACTCGTGAGGAGGAGATTTGTGTTTTCTGTAAATTTTATGAGCGCATGCAACAACTTGCGAGACAACATAGCATTGCCATTTAAGGCAGAGTAAATTCCAACTTCCAAGCCGCCGGGGTGGAGATGCCCATGCTGCATTGCTGATTGTGATTGTGATTGTGATTGTGATTGTGATTGTAGACCACACCACACACGCTCTTATCTCTTTTTCTCTCTCTCACTGCACATATATCCGGCTTGCACTGCATTTCCTCCTTGACATGTGAGCCAAAATGCGACAATATATAAAGAGACAGATGAAGGAGGTGATCTGATAATATTTGTTTATTTATTTTTAGAGAGAGCATGTCAATTCAATCACAATTTACACATGGACCACAGCCATCACTGACATGATCATCTCCACTTATTTTTTTTGGGGTTTTGTTTTCTCCAAGGTACATCATCTTTTCTTTTTGTCTACTAGGTTAAGTTAATTTCTTATTTATTTAAAGATAATGGAAGTTAGAGTCCAAGGGTTCTGGTTTCCTTTGTATGACGGTACTGACCATAGGATGACATAGTATGCTCACTCAGTGTAACAAATTTACTCAAATAGTAACTTTTGGGAGTTTAATTTAAAGTTATTAACATGCTATGTGGTGTTAGAAGTAACGATGTTTTTCTCCTAAATAATAAAATGAAGAGTTTTTCTATTTAAATCACGCACTTCTCTTTGTTCACTCCATATTCTAAGTTTACTTTAACTTTTAATTCAAATTTTCACAATTTCTAAGAAAACCCTACTTTCTTCCTAAATTACTCCTAAATACACACCCAGCAGAAAAAATAAAAATAAAAACTTCATTAACCTCACACCCCACACCCTTGCTATCTTATCTCTTACCACTATAAGTTCACCTCAACCTCACATTACTTAAAGAGATAAAAACAATGTTGTCAAATATGTAGCAACATTATTATTATTATTTAAAAATTTAGAGTGAATTAGGACGAAAGATGGATAAATACCCTACTGGAGATGATATTAGTAAACACATGAACAAGAGGTAACAAGAGCATCTTGCTACTTCAAAAAATAAAAATTATATGTCAATTTGATCCACCTAACAAATTAATATTTCTACTGTCTAATTCGATATTTATACAATATAATTTCATATTCCAATTCTATATTTCAAAATGGGAAAAATGGGTGGTGGTCATACTTTACTTTTTTTTTTTTTAAATTCCAAAAGATATTTTCTATTTAAACCCTGCACTCTTCTTTGTTCACCCTAATACTTAAATCATTAAGCTGTAAGTTTTATTATTGTGTACAAAGACAAAAAAAGGTCATCCAACTTAATAATTAACCATAGTACATCTATATACACACCCCACAACTCTTCATATTAAGTTTTAGAAACCTCCTTCCAACTTCCTCTCTCTCTCTCTCTCTCTCTCTCTCTCTCTCTCTCTCTCTCTCTCAAGTTCTCAACTCAACAAGACCCAAGTGTTAGAATTCTAGTTACAGTTCTTGGAGAGAGGTAAAATTATTTTCTTTCTTTAGTAAATTATTTAAAGGATTTGGGATTTGTTTGTGTTTGTTTTTTTTGTTTTTTTTTTTTTTTTTTTTTGCTAGGAACAAAGAAAATTGTGGGGTTTAAATATAAAATCTCTTTTAGTTCTTATTTTTTTCAGTTTTGGGTGTATTTAAGGGCAATTTGGGAAGATAGTGGGGTTTTCTTAGAAATTGTGAAAAATTAAATTAGAAGTTAAGGTGAACTAAGAGAAGTGTGGGGTTTAAATAGAAAATCTCTTCCAAAATAGGGTCTTAACATCTTATGATAAAACAAACTTCTCTTTAATAATCTTCGAAAAAATAAAGGTGTAGAGGAGTTCGTGTTTTTTTAAAATTTAATAGGAAGAGTAGTGGGGCGTGTTTATAGACGTACTTGGGTTAAGTATTAAGTTGGATGACCTTTTTTGTCTTTTTACACAATACTAAAACTTAAGAGTTTAATTATTTAAGTATTGAGATGAGCAAAGAAAAGTGTGGGGTTTAAATAGAAAAACTCTAAAATGAATAGTCCCGTTCTCTTGGACCACATGAGTCTAAGAGACTTGTGGTTATTCACCCTTAGATTTAATCAAAGGGCTAAGAAAAATTTACTTTAAAATATCTTTTTTCTTTTGCTTTCCAAGGTTGAATTACTTTTCTTTTACTTGAGAGGGCGTCCCTCAAATATATCTTTTTTCTTTTACTTTAAATTACTTTAAAATATCTTTTTTCTTAGCCCTTTGATTAAATCTAAGGATGGATAACCACAAGTCTCTTAGACCCCAGTTGTCCAAGAGAATGAGACTATTCATTTTAGAGTTTTTTTATTTTACACTTTTCTTTGATCATCTCAATACTTAAATCATTAAACTCTTAAGTTTTAGTATTGTGTAAAAAGACAAGAAAGGTCATCCAACTTAATATTTAACCCAAGTACGTCTATAAACACGCTCCACTACTCTTCCTATTAAATTTTAAAAAAACACAAACTCCTCTACACCTTTATTTTTTCGAAGATTATTAAAGAGAAGTTTGTTTTATCAAAAACTAAATTTTAATCAAGTCGTTTACTCTTGTAACTTTTGGTTTTGACTAAATTTGCATAAGATGTAGTAGGGCGCAAGTGCAGCTATTCTATTTGAAAAAATCTTCTTGACTTTTTCAAATAAGCTAAGCTAGCTTCCTATCTAGGGTATCAAATCCCACGTCAATTGCGAATGGCAGGTTTCACGGGATAGGAAAGAACTGCCTTTCCCTCTCATAGACTCATACCATTTGTGTTTTGGTTGTATAACTGAAGCATCCTCCTTCCCTTTAACCTTCACCAAGGATGAAGAGAAAACAAACAAGTCACGAGAAAGTAGAAGAGCTGAAATTTTCCTCTCTTTTTTGGGTATTTATTGGGGTAAGAGCTTTTAAATTTGTGTACACTCAAAAGTTAAAGAGGACAGACTAGGAAGTTTGAAGGGCAGTTGAGAAAATGATAGTGATAAAGAAGTGGTAGCTGCACCGTGAATACATGTTTTGTGATGTGACATATCTATCTTTTTTCTTCTTCTTTTTTCAATCTTGCTTAAAAGAAATGTCACTAAACAAATAATTAGTTGGAGAAATACGTTTGTTATTCGTTGTCATATTTTCATCAAATATTTAGAATTCATATGTCTTTTGTTAAATTATTTTCATCAAACACATACAGTTATAGAACCGATATACAAAAGTGGTCTTCGTTAAAACTTTTTTAAAAAAATAAATTAAAAAAAAAAAAAAAAAAAAAAAAAAAAAAAAAAAAAAAAAAAAAAATACACACACATATCATTACAACAATGATGCTAACACACAACTATTCAACGGTGTTACTGCCTTGTTAAAGTATTAATGGTATGTATATGATGTGTTGTTGAAATGCGAATTTACAAATGAAGTTTCAATAATAAAAAGTACTTGGTTTTACTTGGCATATTTAGGGATAAAAAAGTGCATATGTATTTTATATATTTTAATGAGTTGTTCATAGTATTTATCACCAGCCATAAGACATGCAGCCAAAAGTATATACTAAATCAAAGAAGTGATTGATTGAACTTGTATTTTACTCAAATTGCAGCACTTTTCCCCGCCCACTTTGGCTTTTAACACTCTCATTAATAATTAAGAACATCGGATTGGTTGTTTTTATTGTAGTTAATCATGATCTTCGTCCATGATTATATACCAAAGCCCCCCACTAGCAATTTGACAAATAGATGACAGCTGAGCTAACTTATCTCATGTCATGTGGGAACATCGCAAATTGCCACCAGAAAGATTTAATAATAATAATAATGTATGGTTGCTTTGTTGTTGGCAACGACTTTGCTTTAGATTTGGAAACGGCTACCGATTTCTTTCAACTTGTTTAATTTTGTGGATCAGTCAAGAGTCTCAAGTTTTAGAGTAAGAATGTAGAAGAAGGGCCACTATAAAGAAAAGTTGAAGAAAAAAATGTCTCCACATCCACACGCTATACAATGACTCATAAGTCGCATCATAAACATATATACCTTCCTCTGATCCCAACTGACAAAGGTCTCCTTCTCTATGTTTTTGTTTTTTGGGATTTTGTCTAGGTTAGTCACACATTTATTTTCAAAGTGTGAGTGATTTCTGATCGTAATTGGTTTAAATATATGTACAAAGAAAAATTAACTATATACATAGATAACCGTAACCCTAAAGAACATATATAAATTGTATATTCAATCATTATTTTTCTTTTTTCCATACTTTTTTTCATGGTAGGAAGAAAATCTCACTACTCATGTCAAAAGTTATGAAATAAATCACATGCGGATCACATACTTATTATACAAAGTCGAATTTTGTACATGCACAAATCCAATTTAAGATAATGTTTTGTAATTCCAACTTCAGACATTTGAATTTATAGGTTATTTTTTTTATATATTTATTTAAGGAGATTTACTATTATACCTGGTATAGGATTTTCCCATGCACTCTCTTGTACAAGGTATGGCAGAGGAATAAGATTTTTTATATGTCCTTTGCCTTGGCTGATTGGACAGTTGCATGGCTCACACATCTCTGAGGTCCTTTTCACTACCCTTTTCTATTTTGCAAATTCCCAATAACATCATTCACACAAGATTCTTGCTCTTTTTTCTACATTATTTTATTGCCCTTCTTGAATCATCTTCCTCTTCCTCTTTTTTTTTCCTTTTTTTTGTTGTTGATAAATTTGTTGTTATTATTACCTTTACAAACTCATTAGTTTTATTTATTAAAAATGATATTCTTTGTTGTCATGATTGTGATGGGTTGGCATGCTCGCAGGAACTCTGGCTTTTCTAGATTTCTTTGACACATGTTCATCTTCTTCCTGTGAGGTGTCTTTTGCTTTCTGGGTTGTCCTCAGAATTCAGACAGTTACAGTTTATCATAAACCAATTTGGATTCAGAGTCACAATTGAGCTCTTATTGATTTTTTTTTTCTGTGGAATTATTTGTTTGTGGGGATTCTGTCAGGAATTCAATTCCCCAAGGTGAGTTTATGCAATTTTTGGCGCATTTATGAAAACTCTCTATCTGTGTACTCTCTCTCTCTCTCTCTCTCTCTCTCTCCTTTGTTTTATAGCATCATCTGCAGGCTTTGGAATTACATGTTGTTTTCTTCTATCGAATTGTGGGGTCAAAAAGAGACGACTTTAATGGTTTCCTGATTGAATTTGGATTGCAGTTCACATGCGTGCTTTTCTCGGAGCCGTCTGTTTTGAATTTGGCAATTGGGTCAGAGTGAAAATTGCTTCTTTCAACCAATTCAGGATTAATTTTGTGAAAAACAGGTAACTTCTCTTTTCAAAATTTTATCTGCAATCCTTATTGAATTTGATTTCTGCTGAGTTTCCTTCTTTCCTTCTAATTTTTATATATTTATTGGATCCTGTAGATTTTCATGTCTCGCAGTCATCTCTGAATTCAACTGGTGCAACAATTCTTGATAAGAAACCTTGGAATTTCATACGCTACAAAAATTGCTGCTCTGGTTTTGTGCAAATTGATCATGATGATTGTGTCAGATGAGTTTTATGTGCTTGGGATGATTTAAAATTCTGGGTTTTGTGGGTTGAATCTTAAATGGACGTGCCTCCTTATTGTAAGCACTTCAAAGTACACGGTTGCCACTTGAATTCCTTTGCATGCAAATGTGTTGTTTTAGCTTTCATTGCTCTGATTCTCAGAGCTGTTCTGCTTCCTACGTTCCATAGTTTTGGTGGAGCTGAACAGAGCAAGTTGGTCTTCATCAGTGACCTCTCTTTGTCACTCGGTCATAAATTCGGAATTAGAAAAGATAAGTTTTTGGAGGTTCCTCAAATTGTATGGGGCTTAAACAATCAAAAGATTGCGTTTGCAAGAGCTTGTTTAACTGCAAGGTTTCTGAACCGGACTCTTTTGATGCCTAGCTTGAGTGCTTCCCTGTTCTACAAAGAAGTCGAGCTCTTGGAGCCTATTTCCTTTGATAAGGTGTTCCAGTTCAAGAAGTTTAATTCTCTCTGTAATGGCTTTGTTCAACTGGGCGAGTTCTCGGATCTTAGAAACCAAACGGGAGCCTTTGAGCTTCAGAAAGGAAGTGGAAGGAGGTGGACACCTGAGAGAGATTTGGATCAGTTGAAACAGCACAATGAGGATCCATATAATGAGTTTGACGTGATTCGAATCATTGGAAAGAAACCCGTTTCTGTGGCACGATCATTGGCCTGTGAAGGACTATGCGAAGGTGTTTGAGTGCTTGGTTCTGGTTGATGAGATAATGAATGAAGCAGATAAAGTTGTGTCCAGGATTAGAGATATAGGAGCAACACAAGTAAGAAGCCAGAATGAGTCTCCACAAAATGGCATTAACCCGGCAGAGAAGCCTTTCTTGCAGCCAGTGCCTTATGTGGCTGTACATATGAGGATAGAGATAGACTGGATGATTCATTGTAAGAAGCTAGAGCAAAGATCAAACATAACTCAAATTTGTAGCAGCAAGGAGGAGATCATGGAGAGAGTGGGCAACATTGCTGGCCTGAAAACACCAGTCGTTGTTTATTTAGCTGTGGCTGACAGTCTTCTTCATGATCCATCTATTTTGAGTGGCTGGAAGGAAGGCTTGATTCCTTATGAGAAGAAGAAATTGGGGCTTGAAGGGACTTACAAGAAGTTCCCTTATCTCATTCAGTCTGCAATTGACTATGAAGTGTGTTTAAGGGCCGATGTCTTTGTGGGAAACAGTTTCTCCACATTTTCGAACCTTATAGTTCTCGATCGAACGCAGAAGCTCATTAGAATGGGCGTCACAAGCTCATGTGGTGTGGATGTAAGGTGGCCTTCTTATGCATACAACATATTAGGGGAAGCAAAAGGCCCTCAAAGATGGATGACAAACATGTCTGGCTCAAGTCTTCAAGCAATTAGCTATGGCTCCAATGACATTTTGTGTTGTGTTGATCCTTAGTTTTTCTATTGGTGGACATGTTCACGGCTCCACCACTTCTTGTAATCTACATCATCCAGTCCCTCCTGCGCAATATTTTCGGTATAGTTACAAAGTTCTTTTTCCCCTTTATAGTGAACGTTAAAATAGCTGTTGAATGGATGTAAATTTCTTATTTTTTATTTCAAATGTAAGTTCCATTCTATTGGTTTTTTTTATCTTGATGGCATATATTTTTTTCCTCTCCGGGTTGGATTTCTCACTATGTGTTAATGAATGTTGCTATTCTCTTGGCATGAATTCTTGTAGGATATTGATTTTATTGAGTTTGTAGTAAAACAAGAGCATGCCCTCATAAAAATTTAACAGGAAATGGGATTTTTTATGTTGCTCATCCAAATACAAGCTTTCTAACCACTTTTTCCTTCTCTGTATCTCTCTGCACCTGTTTTCTTTCCATATTGAAGGATGATGGAACAGACGACCAAAACAAACAAATAAAGACAGAAGGAAATGGAATGGGACAGTCTTTAGCACAAGCAAGGAATTAAGTTATTTGGTACTTGATTTTTTATTTTTTGTGGTCGGTCATGTCCTTAGCTCTCAACTTTGAGCTTTTTTGGCCCATCATCTGTGTGTATTTATTTGACTTATTGAAAATTCTTGCTCATTATGTTTCTTTGCTTCCCCAGTGGGACCTCAATGCTGGGTTTTGGCTGTTTTTTCTTTGTTGATTAGCCCTCAAACTTCAGACATCAAGATCTGTAAAGGGGTCAATCTAATTTGCAATTTGCTTTGAATTAGTCAAGTTTTTGGGCATTTTAGGCACTATTGCTTTATACAGGGCAACTTCAAAGTTCAAATTTTGGCCAAAAACTTGAGACCCTGTGAGGCTTTGAGAAAAAAGTTTAGGGACTCTGGATCAAAGTTGTAATCTTTATGCATTAATTGGCTAACTGGCCATTGGAAAGCTTAAATTGGACAACTTATCTGCTGCATGGTACTTCTTTCTATTTCTATTGCAGAAAAACACAACAGAACAGATTATCTTCTCCAATATTAATTAAGGACCTTTCTGAATTTCATCTATAAATATCCAATGGTGAAACGAAAAGCAAAAGGTATTTGGCATGGGCCAAAATGGGCCAAACCCAATTATTGGAGCAAGATATGAGTCGGCCTGTGGGTTGAAGTTGGTCCAACCAAAGTGTGAGCAAAGAAACTCCCAATGACCACAACGATCCAAAATTTATGAAGTGCTTGAACCTTGGTAGGGATTCAAAATTTCTCTACATGCTGCGGCGAAAATATATTTGGGAGAAAAAGGTGCAGATGGGTCCCAAACATACCCAACAAACTCAATTTCATGCCAACTTATAGGTTTGATATAATTGAAGCCACTCCTCTTGCACGAAATTTCCATTTAACATCTGGAAAGGGTTTGATTGAAGCCACCCTACTAATAGCTACCCCTTATCCAAAATGAGACGTGTCCTGTAAACACTTCACAAAACCAAACAACACATTCACCACTACAACAATCACAATAATGACTTGTTCCTGTTGTTAATGGTGGTGGGTGAGTTTGGTATCTTTCCCATTTTCTTATAATGGGAAGCAAGAAGCAAGATGGGACAACTAAGCTCAATGCATATTGTCATGAAAAACAACCATATTTTTGGCGACTTTTAAATAATTGAAGGGATGAATCAACTCTTACTTTGATGAGTATTTACAGTGTTTCCCATCTCACAGAGAGAGAGAGAGAGAGAGAGAGAGAGAGAGAGAGAGAGAGAGAGAGAGAGAGAGAGAGAGCATATAAAATGGAAATACATTTATGGCATTTTAATTCACTAACATGATAAATGTTCTTTCAATTCAATTCACTATCTTTTTTTTTCTTTTCCTCTGTCTTTCAAGAAGAAAGCGATCATCAAGAATAGATGCTTCCCCTTCCATGGTACACACAAGGGACCTTGATGGTCACAAGTTTTATCTTAACACAATGATCATGAAACTACAAAGGAAAAGAGGTACATTATCTTCATGACCATGAAATTGGAGTGAACAGAGCGAGGAACTCTTTTACTCTTTCTTATGCGAAAAGTATTGGTGGGAAGCTATGCAAATTATTTTCCAACTTCAGGAGTCCTATAATTCATTGGATGTATTCTTCATAGTAGTTATCACTTATCACAGAAACAAACCTCTCGAGCCAAGGAAGCTGATGAAGATCTTTCATTGCATCTACATAGGAATCTGTACAGCGGGGTGGGGATTGGTAAGGGGGGTGGTCACTTAAACTGAAACCCCCAGCTAGGAACCTCTGGATCAGTGCCAACTGTGATCTCTCTTGGTCTGAGTATGCGTCCATTATCATGGGGAGCGAATTGAATGTTTCCCATGCCCATTGCTCAGATTCTTGCATAGACTGAGTGACCAAGTCTTCTGTGTTGTTGTTGTCTTCATCCCAAAAGGCACATTGACAAGTCTGTTGGCCATTCCTATATTCAGCACCACATGAATAACAGAACTCATGCCTACACCTGAAAATGAGCAACATGAAAAGCTCAGTAAAGATTCAAGAACAGCTAATGAAAAGTAGACTTAACATGGTGAACATAACATCTTCTGTATTGAACATGTGCATATGTATAACAGACATAAGCATTACAAACAAAGGTGATTAAACTTAAATTTTACTCATAGAACATCATATGCTCCTTGTTTACATGTGCATATGCATAACGGATGAAAGCATCACAAGCAAAGGTGAAACTACAGAACATTTTTCTTATTCAAATAGTCAGGTTATGATTCAATAAAACCAACTAAAGCTGTCTTAATTCAATCAGCTTTAATCATAGTCAGGTACTACTTTCTCCTAGAGGTTCTCCTACACAGATTTTGCCCTCTGCATAGGGTGACACCATTTTGTCCAAGCGAGTATAAAAAATTGTATTTTGAAAAAATTTCTCAAACAAAAAAGAAGCCTGAGATCTGAAATGATTAAGTAGTTTCCATTTAGTTCAACTGTCACAGTATTTGAGTTTAACACTTTAACCATAAGTATGAGTTACGATTCATAGTCAATTGAGTCCATATGGGGTTCTCAACCCACTCAGTCAATGTTTTCAATAATACAACAGTATGTGTAATGAAAGTGATCTTACCAGCATGTCATGTGGTAGCAACCTTGAGTGAGCTCGATCATCCTACGACACTGCTGGCAACGTCTCCAGCTTTTATTTTGTGCTAGGCGATGTAAGGTAATGTCTGCAGCATCTCTCTCTTCCAATGGGAGGTTTTGGAACTCCTCACAGCTCATAGATGAATGCCAAGGAACCCCACAATCTACACAGATGAATCTCTGACAAACTGGACAGTCAATGCAGCTGTTATCTGACTGACTTGATGAACTTGCCCTAGCTGACAAACATTCAAGAGGATCAAGCAGGACAGAACAATTTGGATATGGGCAGTAAATTCTATCTGAGTGGAGAATATTTGCTTCTGCGAGGGCTTTCTCCAATGATTCATAAGAAGTGAGTGGAAGAAAAGATTTGCACTCAGCAGTGGAGATGTAATACTTGCACCTCGGCTGAGGACATCTGATGGGGACTTGTGAGGACTGTACCTTCCCATCAACGTATGTCCTCATGCAATGCGAACAGAACTTATGAGAACATTTCATGGTGATCATCATTAGGGATGGTTTATCGTCGCAACAGATGGAACAGTTTTCAAGTGATTCAACACCCTTATCAGGAAAAGAGACAACTCCAATTGCCACTTGGGCTAATTTTGATGGCCGCTCAAGATCTACAGTGGGGACAAGTTTCAGAACAAAAGCATCGAGATGACTGGCATGCTCTAGGATCCTTTGCCTCAGCGCTACTAGGAGTGGAATTTCAAGTTTCTGCTCATGTGATACCTGTCAAAAACTCATGTCATTAAAGCAAACTTGACATGCAAGAAGACAATTTGAATAATTTAATGCTAGTGCTACAACTCAAATGAAGTAAGGTGAAATAATCCTCAGAAGCAATCACTCAAAGTGTATTGCTGAAAGTTAAAAGGTTTTATCCATCACTCAACCTATAAAATTGTGTTGTTAAAAATAATGTTGACCCCTTTTTTCGTCAATAAATTCATGTGGTCACAAACGCTGCAATTGCAATGGATAATTTGGCAAGGAACTTATGAAAATCAGCCGCCAAAAATCAAGGCTAGCAGAATTATTGGCTTCATATTTGATACGTCTTCTAAAGTGGTAACCAAAATGAACAAAGAAAGTTAACTCTTTCACAGAGAAGGACTCACCTGATCATATAGCAGCTCAGAATCTGTGAATGCATAAACCCGGCGGACTTTATTTTGCACAGCTTCCATTAGGCCATCCATCAGGGCTAAATAGTCAGCCACAGGCTCCTCCACATAAAAATCAAGCCTTTTCTGCACCTGAATTGCAGGAACATTGGTCGACCTTTCCATGACAACTCCAATTCCAGAAAGCCCGAAACCTGAGTCCCCATACCCAGCTATGGACATGCCTTTGAAGAACATCTTCACTGAAAATTCATCGAGATCATCTTTTGGATCCACCTTCACCAGTTCTTCGGTCTCCTTCCAAACTTCATCATCTTCGCAACAACTACGAAACTCTTCTTCATCTTCCTCTCTGAGTAAATTTACAGAAACCTCATCACCAAAACTTGCCTGACCCTCCATTTACACAACAGCTCTGGAATTCTAAAACTTGAAGCTGTGATTGTTACCAAAATCCAACTACAACTCGTCAACCAAACAATCTGAAGCTCTGTACTTTCAGCAGTCAAATCTCTCAAAACCACAAACAACAATTCATTTCAATCACTGATCTTTCAGAGCCTATCTCCAAATCATCATACCAAAAAAAACCCTCCAAGGAATCGATCCAGAACTGCAGCCAATTGTAGCATCACCTCCACCTGTAAATACCACAAAGAAATACTGATCTTAGACAGTAATCATTCAGCTGCTAAATCCAAATCGATAAACAAGAAAAACCCATCAACGAATTCATCCAAATGAGCCAAAAATCCGTGCTTTACCTTATATATTTCCCAAATCCCAAAAGATACATAACTGTTAGCTCTTCCACATAAACAAAAATCAACCCAAAATAGAAAGAGAGAGGACTAATTTTCATCCCTCCAAAACTGTACAAAATTTCAAAGCAATTTTTTGAAAACCACAATGAAGAAAAGAAAAGGATAAGATACAGAAATAGGAAAGGGTATCATATTGGAAGGGTGACTGGGCAAGAACGAAGTACAGGTTCCATTACCTTATCCGGAGGGAACTAAAGTCTCCGGAATCAGATTCCTGTTGGGGTCTGAAATCTGAAATGGTGTCTTGTAATTGTAGCAAAATGGTAGAATAATAAGAACCCTAATCTGACAAATTTCAACCTTTGGTGCCTCACCCACTTACAAGATGCTGTTTTTATTCTATTCTTTTACTGGGATTAGATCAAAGATCAAAGATTTTATTACTTATTAGGATGGCGAGAGCTGAGAAGAGAATCCTTAGACTTACTATTGCAGTTATTGGCGTTAGAGGAAAGTTAGAATGCCTTTGGCCTTTTGCTTTGTTGGCATTCTCTCTCCTTCCTAAACACATGCACTTTGGATTTCTTCAATTCTCTACTTTCCCTTTTATTTTCTCCATATTTACCCAAAAAATACAAAATATCCTTGATTTTTTTATATATTTGCATACTTATTAAATGCAAGATTCCCTTTTTTAAATTAATAAAATTACGTTTTTTAAGCTTGTACTTAATTTTCTCAATATAATCTAGCGGTATTTGTCTTCAGTTAATTGAAGGAAGTCTCAATTTCAACACACATGGGGACACATTCTTCAATTCTCTACATTCTCTTTTATTTTCTCCATATTTACCCAAGATGATACAAAATATATCCTTGAATTTATTATATTTGCGTACACTTATTAAATCAAGATTCCCTTTTTTCATATGATAAAATTACATTATTTTAAGTTTTTACTTAATTTTCTCAAAATAATTTAGTGATATTTATCTTCAATTGGTTAGAAAAAGTCTCAAATTTAACTCACAGGATACGTATATATAAATCTTAAACACTAAAATCAACTTCATTTTATCATAAACACAAGTATTAAGTTATTAACATGCAAAAACATAACGAAAACCCTCTTTCCATCTAACACGCCACTCCAACCTCCTTCGCCACTTGAGCTACACCCAATCCCGAAGGTTTTGTGTATGTAGCATATTTGACAAAATGTGCCGTGTGATTAGGGAAAGTAGAACGGTGAGAATGGGAGGAAAAAAAAACACATAGAGAGCAGATGATAGAGGAGAGTAAATAAAATGGAGGGAGATGAGACCCCTCCAAACCAGGATCACAAAGTCCAATTTGTCTCCTTTTGGATTGATTGATGGACATCTTACACCGTTCTTTTCCCTTGATCGTTTTCTCATGTTTAGACCTCTCTTTCCTTCCATTTTCCCATCCTTCTTCTTATTCAACAGTTTTAGTCGTAGAATTAAAACAGTACAGCATCATTTGGCTGGAATGTTCAAGTGTTGCATGTATTTCACTAATTGTTCAGAGCATTACTGTATGAAATATGACTGAATGGAACTTGGAAGAAAAAAAAACGCATTAAGACAAAACCCCTAAGATTCTCAGCCAGAAAGCTGGGTTGGAGTTGGAGAAACCTATGCAGTATGCACATGGTGTTTGTCTATTTTGCTGAAGAAAATGTGACTTTGTTCTTGACTTTTTTCAGCTTCCTGACAATTATATATATATATATATAGATTAAAAAAATGAGAATTAATGATTACCAAACCCTATCTTCTTATATTTAATTACTGAAATTGACTTCCAAGTTCCAAGCATGTTTTTCTGTTTACCCATTTCTTACGACTGAGATTGGAAATTTAAACCCTTTCCCAGTCATCATCAGTCTGCAGCCAGCTCAAATCTAAAAACTAGATCCATATATGACTTAACTTTAAAAACCCAGGAGTTAATTAATAATGATCTTAATTAACAAATGTTTAATGACTAATTTAACAAATGTGGAAACTATTTACCACAAAATTCAAATGGTGGCAATGGGAATGCAATGTACCTCTTTGCGGTTTGTACCTAATCACTTTTCTTGTACAGCTTTACACTTTACAGGTTGACAATCAATCATCAATCATGCTATTAAAAAAATCATCGTGTTGCTTATAGAGTTTGGTTTAAGGTGGGGTACTCTTTACCTATAGAGGAAAGGGACTTGACTCTATGATTGCCTTCAAATAGTGACTTGCTCAAAAACGATGTGTCGTTACATTTAAGGGTTTAGAGTTACGAAAAAAGTAAAAGAAGAAACTAACTAATTTATGATAGAGAAATATTCACAAATTATGACATTGGTGATTTATCGTATAATAAAATGTTGTCAAACTGTTAATTTGAAGAAATGAAGGTAATTATTGTTTAAATGTGCATGTTTTTTTAATCAATAAAAAATATACATATTTAAAATCGACAGTCTAATTTGGTTACGTAACATTTTTGGATTTGTTTATATATAAGAGAATATTAATAGAATATGCTCTAAGAAGACATCAAATGAAATATAATACTCAAGTTGGATTAAATTATGGACGGTTCAATTTTGTTTTCTCTTTTTGGAAAATATTAGTTCCAAAATGACAGACCCTTTTGTTAATAAAAGTTCCATGAAGTAGGAAGTAGTCGTGTCTATGAGGAAGAGGAATCAAAGCAGTCAACTGCGGTGCATAGTGTATGACTTGTCTTTAGGGTTAATGTTCATCCATTCTATGCTCATCATTTGTCCTGCAATTTTATTCTGTCAAAAATGGGTCCTTTAAGTTTTGACTGGTGCAACAAAACGACAAGTAGCTGGTAGAGACTGGAACTTTCGGTGTTCCAAACGTGGCACTATGTGCTAGTTGACTTATTAGCTTTTATTATTTTGGTTTTTTTTTATTTAAATGAGGTCTAATTCAGTGGAAAAGATTATTGACTTGAAGACAAGAGGTCTTAGGTTCGAATTCCCATGACATCATTTGTGTGTGTGTGAGAAATCTTCGTTCTCTTTGATTAAAACTATCGCTTATACTAAAAAAAATTATTTTGATTTTTTTCCATTTACATTTTCAAACACATTCTATAAAGTTAAAAGGTAAAACCAAATTTACACTTCTTTTGGATGAGTCCAATTTTTCTATTACCATTTTCCATGTGGCCCCCTGTTACTTATCTAAACTCTAGTACCTGTCCCTACACTTAACCTCTAAGTTAACAATGTTAACTTTTAATAAAATTAAAACTAAAGACAAAAACAAAAACAAATTATTAAACAGCTACCAAAGCTCTGCACCCACTCAACCCTTGTCGCCGACAACTCCTCACCTTCTTGCTGGCAGTGGCAGTGGCAGAGCCACTTATAGGCTTGGAGTGGCCTCGGCCCCCCCAATTTTTTTTTATCTCTCCTCTATTATATTATATATAACATATAGAATTTGTAATAAACCACTTATAATTTAAGTTAAAGTTCCCTCTAAAACAAATTAGACATAACTAAATTAGAAATATTTAGCTCTAAATATGTAATTATTGAATACTTAGGTATTTTATGTACTTGTATTTTCTACTTCGGTCCCCCTAACTTTACAATTCTAGCTCCACCCCTACTCGCCCGAAACCCTCGTCATGCTCGCCGGAAACCCCAGTCATGCTTGCCAGAAACCCTCGTCATGCTTGTCGGAAACACATCTTTTTCCTTCTCTCTCGCCACTTTTATCATTTTGCTCCCCAAACCCAAAACCCCAACAACATAGTTAAGATCGGGTTTAGAATAGAATAGTTGTGAACATGTCTTCCAAATCCAAAACCCCATAATTCCGTTTTCCAATTTAGAGTCAATCTCAGCCAAGGGAAGAGCAGTCATATAAGATGCACATTCAAGGGTTGGGGGCTTGGGGAGCTGTTCTGTTGCGTCGTTTGATTTTTCTTTAACAATTAGTTTTTGTTTGTAATTTTATCAAAAGTTAACAATATATGAACATGTGTCAAGAGTTTAGATAAGTACTAGAAAAGCACGGGGAAAATGATAACAGGAAAATTGAACATCTTTTAGATGTGCCTCCAAGATGAAGGAAGTAATACAAGCGAGTGAATAGCATTTATTTTCCCTTATATTTTTTTTTAAAAAGGTTCAAAGAAGAATGCTACAAAAAGAAAAAAGTTTTTTCATCCTCTCTATTGTCAAAGCAGTAATTTTTAATTTTTTTTAATTTTATATTTATAAAATACTTTTATAACGGGCCAACAGACTCTCAACAAAAAGATAGAAGTTTATCTTTATAAATTATCCAGAACCCAAAATCTACTGCTCCTGCAATTTTAGGGCTTTTCTTTAGCATCCAAGAGGCTGTGGCTTTGGGCCTAATTTCCTAATCCATTGAAAACCCATGAGAAATTGAGAAAGCAAAACAACTGTGCAAAAGTTTGAATAAACTTCTCCTTTTCTTTCATATTTCTTATAATTTCAATTTCCTTTTGTTTCTTTATTTGCTCATGAAACTTGAAACAAGTTTGTTTGGCTATTTATAGCACTTGAGGGAATCACAATACAAAGTGGACAACACAAAAAGATCGACCTGTGGAAACATATAACGATCATAAACCTAAAACTTCAGGAAATCAAAACACATATATGAGTACAATATTATATAACATTGCTTTTCAGATCATGGCATGAATAATTTATTGATCTTATAATTAAGCCCATTTTGCCAATACAGACATGCCACCTGCACCCAAAAGGACCGCCATGTAAGATTTGATCTGGAGCTTGATGCTACGCTGCAACTTTGGACCCATGAAGTCAGCAGCAAGAAGATCAACCAGAGCCATGTAGATAAGAAGGCCAGCTGAGGATGCATTGAGCAGCCCTACTGTGATTAACGACCTTGGACTATTTTCCTTGTACGATTTTGTAAGGGCCATTCCGATAGCAATTCCGAATGGGGTTGTTGTTGAGAAGAAGAACACCATGATGGCCTTCTTCATGAACTTGTACTCAGCCTGCATTAAATTATATTTGTTCATGAGCTAATTGACGTTTGAAGTCATCATTAAGTATATATTTTGTTTATATATTAAATGGATATATATATACCTGGAGAATGCAACCACCAAGACCCATGCCTTCAAACATTTGATGGAAGCAAAGGGCAGCTACAAGACCCTTAATTGTGCAAGTGTTGTTTGATGCTCCAAGAGAAAGCCCAATAACAACTGAGTGAACAATGATACCCAGTTCTAATACCTGCAACAATACACAAGTAATTATATTTATACATGTACTACGTTATCAAACTGTCAATCTGGTCAACTACACGTTAAATCGAAAATTCACCTCATCTATAGTTTTGATTAACATTTTCTGACACTATAGGTTATAACAAACTACGCATAACAAAATTCAGGAAAAAAAAATTCACTTCACTAATGATTTAAGTTAACAATATATATGACGCGTCAAACTGTTAGATAAGATAAAAATTTATTTCTCACCATGGCAACAACGCGATAACGGGGAAGCTGTGAGTCTTCATTTCCTCCCTTGACTATGTCATGACTGTGAGCATGAAAATGACCATGCCCAGCACCCACCGCAGCCATCTCTTGGTCCACCTCAACGGCTGCAACCGTCCCATTATCTGGGATAACTCCAGTTCTGCATCTCTTGCTATAAATACTAGTGGCCATAGAATCCACCATCAAAGTCACAATTGCAGAGAGCATAGCCACAAACCCTGAGAAAGGAAACTTGTGCCACGGGTTTTCTTTCAAACAGTTGGATGATAACATGTCAAAAGAATCAGGCAAGACGTGCATGAACCCCGTGGCAAGGATGATGCCGGCTGCAAAGCACTTGACAATCACAAACAGGTTTCGATCGGGGTGCAACGCGGGTATCGAACGAGTAACAAGAGGCAAGGACACCCCGATCATGCTCGTGACCAAAATTGAGGTTATGGCTATGACTTTGAGCGGCACAGCTCCAGACTTGTCATTGCAGGAGTTGGTTTCTGAGCCGCATTCATCAGACTGTGAATGGACTTGGGGAATGAGAATGGAGATGAAGATGATGAAGATGATTGGGGTGAGCTTCAAATATGACTTGGTGGCCATTTTTTTACTCTGACTTTAGCTCACTCAAATAAGTTTTGGGCTCAATGATTTGGAGTGATCTTGGATCTTGTTTATATAGAGGGGTCTGAGATTGAGCAATATTTCAATAGTGGCATGATGCGAACAGAATAAATAAATAAGGTGATTAATGTTGCTTTATACCAACTTGTCAAAAGAAAAAGCTCTGTTGATGTGTTCAACGATAAAGGTTTTGCTACATTCTAAAAAGAAGAGTCAGGTTTGGAGAATTGACAGACGTAATAGTTTTATTCTTCATGAATATATTATGCAAGCAGCCGTACATGGAGCTAGTACTGTCGGATAAGGCTTCCAATATTCCAGATAAAGAATATTTCAGTTTAATTTCTCAGGTCAACCAATTCTGTGAGATGCCAAGGGTTCAATTATATATGTGATATTGATTTCCAAGCATAATTTTCCATATAATTAGACTTTCATCATCAAATTAGTTTTTACAGATCGAATTGAGACGGTTTCATTTCTAGATGAAAAAGGTCACTCTTACTTTTATTTTATCTTCATTCAACCCTGTGAACTTTTGAGTTATACACCAAATATGTATCGTCTGTGTGATTCGACCTCCTTCAACAAAGCGAAGACAAACCTCACCGAATCAAAGGGTAATTTGCATTTGCAAATTTCTCACTCTTAATTAGTTGATGTCACAAAATTAATCATGATGATGATGATGTCAAACTGAAAAAAAAAAAAAAAAAAAAAAAAAAAAACAAAAAAAAAAGAAGAAGTCAAAAGATACAGAAGGAGGATTTGTAGGATATCTAATCCAGAAGTAAACGAAGCATATTATGCATAGATTCCGTTGTAAGTCGCATGCGCATATAAATATTTAGGATTGTGTGTCAAGTAAACGAAGGAGGCATGCTGCATGCTCGATTTTGTCAGTGAATGAGTAGATCTCGTGGGGGCTTGTGTTTTGCTAAGCTTCTTCAAGTACACGTGGCTAAGGCCACCTAATTACAAATTTCATAATACTTTAGTGAAAATAAAAATGCCAAAGTTCATTAAGGTGTATCATTTTTTAAGTTAGTTTTCTGATAAGATTTGTTGGTTTATCATTATTCTCATAAGCTCAAGTATTGAGGGATGTGATTTAACACTTGTTCTATGTTGTAAAAGGATATCTTGATGTACATTTACGCTTTTCAAATCAAATATTTCATCTGGACAACCAAAATGATAGGTATTGAGCACAAGGAATTTGCATAGCTCAAGTGGTTAAAAGTATTTACTCCTACACCCGAAGTCATAGGTTCGATTCCCCCCTTACTTAATATTGCTTTATAAAAAAATACGTTAGGTATCGAGCTAAATAGCTAGTGCTGGCTTTTGTACAATTTAAAGTTTTATTAGTGAGATATATTTTAGACATCCTCATTGTTTAATAGCTGTACTTCTTCGTACCGTCCGGAAATGATTAGTTAGTAAGTCCTTTTCTATGAGAAATAGTTTGATTAGAGGCATTAGTAATGCCGAATTTTTTTTCTTTAGTAAACTCCGATCGCTTTCTTCATCTTTAAACAATAATCTGTGACTTGGAAAGTCAAATATATGCGGTCTGCAAGGACTCTAATTTATTCATTTCTCTAACAAATGTAGTAATTAAACTAATAGCCAAGCTTATCTTGATAGATAGATAGAGATAATGCAAAGTAAACCATCAATCATCTTCACAAATTTCTTAAATTATTGTATTGAAATGAACCGTACTGTAACGTACATGCCCAAAAACAAAAAAGGTGATATCAAACCGTTGAATCAAGTTCAAAGTAAGACTAATAGGAAACAAATATTATGGTAAAAGTGATGTCAATTGACACTAATTAGTTTGATTTTTATACTAAAGAAATTCTAATTCAATAGCTCTTCACAATGTTGGAAAATGTTCGAAAAAAAACATGCAGGCTGCAGCTACTGTACAGTGTAGTTTCCTGTAAGCCCATTTAGCCACAAGGATATGCCGATGTCACCTGAGAGGACTGCCACATAAGCCCACATCTGAAGTTTGACGCTGCCTTGCAACTGGGGCCTCATGAAATCAGATGAAGCAGGCTCAGCCCAAATTGGTCCAAACTGCAAAGGTTTTGTTGGGGGTGGACCGGGCCGGCAAATTGAGTTTAAAATATCCCCTTACTTTTCATTTCCACGCATGTTCATAAACTAGGTGAAGCTAAATTCTTTTTCTTCTTCAAAATCCGTAGAGTTATTTTCACATTACATTGTAACCATTCTCTAAAGAATACTGTTTGCCTCTTTTCCTGTAAAAAGATATTCTTCCTTCCTGTGAATCACAGTTGGACACGTATACAAAAGTAATTCATCAAAAACACACACAAAAAAACTTATGCATACATGTCACACTGCTATTGTCAGGAATGTAAAAGTTCGTGCTTACATAGTAAGGAGGAAAGTATTTTCATTCTCCAAAAAACCAACAAGAAATAAATGACTCTTAACGTAAAAGTTAGAACACTTACTTGTACCAAAAGCAAATAAAAAAATGTAAACATTTTTTGAACTCTCTCTTCCCCACCAAGGAAAAACTATGTGCCACTAAAATTTTCCTACTTTTTTTTGTTGTTGTGGTTTTTCTTTCTTTCTTTTGCATATTAAAATCTTTCCTATGTAGGGTAGTTGAGTTATGCTATGAGCACTTCCAACATGAAGGTTCAAATCAAAAGCGAAGAGTGCTGGCACCAAAGACACAATCATTCAAGTTAAGATGAGATTTGGTCATCTGCACTGACTATATATACCCTAATCACATGCAACTCTTCTTTTCTCCCTGTCCAAATATCATATAATTCAAGTACCCCACAAACAACAGTGAGGGTTTCTTCTTGCTTTGCTTGTTTATTTTAATACCTTTTGCCAACAGCTCACATTGTCATTGGGTTTTGATAAGCGTGAAGCAAATGATCACTAGCATATTACCGTTGGCTTTAGGAATTGCAGGGATACTGTTTCTCCCACTAAGCCTTTTAAATTGAACACATGGCAGAGTCATTAAGCATTAAAAAAAAATCTCCCCTTTCTAATCTCTCTCTGAAAGTTGTCATGCATACATAATTGTTGGCCCCATTTTTATAAAGAAAAATGTGTTGGAGAAGAAAGGAAGCATCCATTAAATCTAAAGACGATGGACCACATTTAGCAGGTGGACAAAAAAGTCAATTCAAAAACCCTCTCATTGGATCCACATATTGCATATCGTTTTGTCCACCGCCTCATCTTTAAACACCACAAAATAATTAACTTCATAAAATTAGTACCACCTGCAGATTAATTAGGTGGTTAAGTAAATCAAATCAAATCAAAACATTGAAGCACATTTCCATCCATCTTTAAAAAAAACCCATTAAGGTTGTGTGTTCTTTGTCAGATACACAGTTGGCATGTCTATGTCGATGTGGCCATGTTGCCCTAGAATTGAGCTTATTATAATTGTCACGATGATGCTGGCATAGCATCCACCGCAACCTGTTGGAAAGTAAATAAACAACAGCATAATTAACTTCTCCAAATTTTCAATTCAATCATTCAATAGAAAAAAGAGTACAAAGTACAGATTGTAAAGCGAGTCATCCCAATAGTAATATGACATACATGAGTAAAAACTTACAGTAGCCTGACCTAACCGACAAATTAAAACGATATACATGATAATTCTTAGAATATATATATATGGATAGCCTTCAATGACATTGGCTAAATATTCTATAAAGCAACCAAAACTTGAACATCAAGCGAGGAAAACTTGGTAGCATGCTTACCATTAGAAATGGTTCAAATACAAGTTGGGTTTTGATGTTGTTTTGACCATTAGCTATTGTGGGACAGGATTGTGAAAGGACCAACATGAGTACATGTGTGAAAAAGCAAAGACAACCACATCTAACATTAGCAAGTTTTTGACCCCACAACAAGATATATGCACATCTTCTTCTTCATATAACGCGGGGATTGAGATTGAGAGCAAGTTTTCAAAGAACAATATCTTTTTGCGAGGAGGAAGAGACAACCCTAAACCAAACAAATACCCCACTTCCTTCCCAAATCTTCCCAATTTGGCACATCATTGTAATCTTGCGTTTGTTGGGGCCTTGTCCACTGCCACTTGTGCTTTTGGAGCTACACATATATCTAGCATCACCCAACGTAACCATCACGTGTCGCTCAGAAATTAATCACAATAATTTATATTATTGTTATATTGTTGCTGTGGTCACAATAACAACAAAAAAAACAGAAAAAGGGAAAAAGAAAAGAAAGAAGAAAAGCTAGGTTCTCTCTCTCTCTCTCTCTCTCTCTCTCTCTCAGTCGGTGGCAGACGATAACTCCTAAATTTCACTATGTTTGGGTTACCAATTAGACCACACCACAGTAGCACTGCCAACCCTAATTTTGTCGGTATTGTACCCTCCAGCTTTGCAGGACCCTCTGCTTCATCTGATCTGATCCAAACCCTAAGTCATCAGAAAATCCAGTGGTGCCCAACTATGGCTCGTACACGTTTTCACCGAACCAATGACCTATCATAACAAAAAAAAATCAATATATATATATATATATTTATATGCTAGCTAGCCTGACACAAAGCCATTAACGTACGCTTTCTGCTAGTCTCTTCTCTTTGGCGTATTTTTAGGGTTCTTCTTTTGCACTCTTTTTTTTTCTTTCTTTCTTTCTTTTCTGAGAGAGTTCACAGAACCCCATGACCCATGAGAGTAAAAGCTGGTGGGGGCAATCTCACATGTTATTTACAACCTCAAGGCTCTTGCTTTATTTTGTGCACCTAACCTAACATAACATCATCTTTTCTGTTTTTTGTTTCTTCTGATCCATTTGCTGGAAATGTCATAAGTGGTTGCCCAAGTGGAGTTGCAGATACCTAATATTCAAGTCAAAAGTTATTTTCCTATATAACTGTCATTTTTCCCTTTATAAAACATTATTATTACTCTCGTAAAATTAAAGTAAGAAACAATTCTATTTATATATAAAAAAAATAAAAAGGTTAAAAAAAACAAGTAGGTAATAACTCAGAGTTTGCAAAAGTAAGAAAATAAATTATGTACGTCGACATAGATAGATCGGGTGCATGGTGCATGCATTATTATTGTTTGTACTACACGTTAGTACAATAATAGAGAAGAACTCATTCAATGATGTATAGGTAAAAAAGAACACTGATGTGACCTGATCAATGCAAATTGGAGAGTGAATCATCCAAATTTACTGCCTCAATAAAATTACAAAGAAGATGGAGTTACAACGTGCTCGTTGCTTTAAATCTGAGTTCGATTCTTCTCCTCATACATTATAGTAGTTTTCGATCCCTCTCTTTATACATTGTAAAAAATTAAATACAAAGGCTTATATGGTTTTCGATCCTATCTATAAATACTCGTGATTTATTTTTGGTATAGTTTCATTCATGGGTTGGCGTGCCGGTGCCACAATGTATTACAATAGCTACAAGACAGAGAAAAATAATATAAATTTAATTTATTTTCTCTTTGCTGGTATTTGTTTTATGCTTTGGATAGTCAAATCCTTTATGGATAGGCAGTTGCACCATTTGCTGATGAAGCTGTGCTGTTTCTGAAAGATGGATGCTGCTCTGAAACCAAGCAATACTTAACAAATAATAGAGGCCGTCCATTTTGCGGGTCCCACTAATGTTAATAAGCATCAGTCTGACGTGTCAGGTGGGCATTTGCACTTGCCACATGTCCACGTCATTGCTAAACAACACTCCCCACCCACCACTAATTTTGGACACTTGTGAATTCTGAGTGACCGAAGAAGCCCACTATTTATCCACGTCTCTTTTTCTTGTTTTTTCTTAGTGCATGGAGTGATGGTTGTGGTAAAAAATAGACACACTGTAAAATTATTATTATTTCTCTGTAGAAAAAGAAAGAGAAAAGTAACTAGCTAGGTAAAAACATTATCATTAAAGAGGATCTCAATCTTGTTTTTGTTTTTGTGCTTTTGGGTTGATGGAGAATCAAACGTAAGATCTACCTTTCATCTCACACCACTTACTCATAATGTCAGCATTTTTGTGAATTCAATTGAATGCGATCATTCAAATTTGTTGTTGTAAGTATGTAGAGAATGAATTTTCTCTTGGTGCATGGATTTTGAATTATGAGAAAGCACTTTTCTTCTACAGCCTGTTTACAAACTAATTCAAAAAATTTTGAATTATGATTTACCTTTCATCTCACCTAGTCTCATCTCATGCCACTTGAGTTGTAAGGTTCATGGTCATTTCAAAACTTCAAAACTAGTTATTGATGGTATGGAGTGTTTCAAGAAGCGAGTTTCACGGCACAGAATTATGGTCATTTGAATTGAGTTGAATGACGTCATTTAATTTTTATTATTGTAAGCAGTCAAAGAATGAATGCGTGCTTTAAGCATGAGTTACGCATGGCTGTGGACTGAGATCCGTATTTATTGTTATGAAAAAACAAAGTAGTTGCAACAATACATAAATTGTTTTGACGTAATATTTTCTTTTTCAAAATTATATAGACTCCGCGATTAATTACGTGATCTAATGTAAATACTCACCAGTCATTTTACCATCAACTTTTTCTTATGTACAAACTGATATCCATTATATATCCCCCTCCATTGTCAATCAAATTCATCTTTATTTGCCATTGTGCGACTCTCCAATTGTTTATACACAGAGAGATGAAACTGCACAGAATCACATGCAAACTGTTCCATATTAGATCCTTTGTTTAGGGGCCAGCCGGACGCAAAATATGATAATGTACTTGTAGATTTTTATATTTGAAGTAAGTATCATTCAAACTGTTTGACTTGCCCTCTGATTGCATCCAGACATAATCTTAATGGCATCACCAAAAACATTTCTGAATACTGGTCATAAAATTTTGAGATACCAAACCATTACTTTTATGAGTCTAGGTTCCTGCTCCTGCTCCCCCGATTTTAATATTTGGGTTCACATTAAACGTATAAAATACCTTCCAGCTAAATAGTGACCACAGTACAATCAAGTTGGAGAGAGAGAGAGAGAGAGAGAGAGAGAGAGAGAGAGAGAGAGAGAGAGAGGTTGGTGACAATTGATTAGACAAATGAGTAATATGGTGGATACGGGTCGCTTTTTAAGTATAGTTCCTTTGCTTTGCAAGAAATCTGAGACATTGAATGGAAAGAAAGAAGTCACATATAAAGAATCAAAAGCAAACATGGAAAAAGTTAAAAAGGAAAGGGGTAGAGGATCTGATCAAACATTATCATTTCATTTCATCTCGATTGACAAGTACAACAATATCATGCTTTTTTCCATATCCTATTGCGCATGTTTGATGATTGTCTAATTACTTACACTTCTTTTTAAGCAGAAAGAAGAAAAGCAAACAATAATGTGGTTTGTGGTGTTCCCATAAGCATTTCATAAGTGAGGTCTGGATTTTTCCACTAAAACGCATGAGTAATCAAATCCAGAAAAGCTATAGGTTTTATGGGATGAATGATTGCACAAAGTTCTCTCTTATCAAGCAAAGGATTCAAACTTGGCAAATATGCAAGGTGACATATAGCTTGGATTAAGCAAAGTTGGGTTAATTGTAGGTTAAGATTGAGTGATTCGGATTGAGTTCGGTTTGCCAACAATCTCGATTCGTGTTAAACTCAATCTCGATCAAGTTAAGAGATGGTAAACACATACTTAACTTGACTTCTAACCAAATCCACTGTCACCACTGATCTAAATGAATTCGAATTTCGAGTGAACTTTGAACTAGATCATTGTAAACCAACCCAAATTAAATCATTTAATTAGAGGCATAAACGTGCATGTGAAACCGATTAACAACGTGGAACAAAAACCAAAGGTTATGATGTACTAGTTGAATATGGAGGTCCCCAAGAAAAAAGAACGAAAAACCCTCATAAAAGTATTGAACTCTCTCCCCAAGAAAGAAATGAAACACTGGTAAAAGTTACCCTACGAAAATTTGGGAAAGCTACAAAGGAAGGGGAGCAATTGAAATAATAATAATGGAGGTCCCCACATTGGAGAAGACGATATGATGCTAATTTTGACGTCTCACGATTGTTGGCGTACACATTTTTAACCTGCTGCTTTTTTTTTATGACATTTTGAGCTCTCTGTCCAAACCCAACAACTCGAAAGGCTTTGGCATTGCTGCATAATGCATGAACAAGACCCCAACAAGAAGAGATAAGAGATGCCCACCATATGCATCTTGTTCTTCACAAAATTCAACCCACCGCCCAAGAAACTTTCCAAAGCTGTGGATGGATGCCTTGCCACACCAGATGGGAAAAGTTAAATTCTGATTAAAAAGAAAGGGGAGATCCAAGTTTAAAAAAAAATGGGGGTAGGTATACTGCAATTGTAAAGTGTTTGACAATTTCTTTTTGCCTTGGCTTTTGGTTAACAACTCAGTATCTCTCAATGCAGCCCAAAAAGCAAGAAAAAAGCGATTTCCCTTAAATTGCTTTTCTTAAAGCAGTGAGACCAATTAGGTATGAAACTCATCATGCACATTGCTCAAATGGAAAGAAAATAAAAAGTAAAAAAATTATGGAAATTAAATATACCCAATAGAAACAAAATTTGTAATCCTACTCTTTTTTTTTCCTTTTTGTCCAAAAAGTATTTGACAATATTTTTCTGTTCAATTTCTGAGGACTAAAAAAATCCTAAGAGAAATTAACATGCACACTGGCATTCATGACAGAGTTGCATACAGGGCAATTGAGAACGGTGGACCCACACATTGTACACAGGCACAAATGCCTGCATGGCAGTAACAACACCCTTGACTCCCTCACCCCACACCTCTTACACATCCTATCGCCACCACCACAACCACCGTTTCCGCCGCCTCCAACCACCGCATCACCACCATCAACCGCCTCTTCATCCCGTCCGTAATCGTTGCTGCCGCAGCTCGATTGCGCATCGTCTGCCACTGCGGCGGCTGCGGGGCCGCCACCAGCTTGGTGCTCCTCGCTAACGTGCGCCAGGACTTGCTCTAAATTGGTGCGTAGAGAATTGGCTGCGGCTTCGTTTGTCTGCGCCATGTCCCTCCATATTTGGTTCTCAAGGAATAGGCTTTTGACTCGCTCTTGAAGGACCCAATTGAGCTTCCCCATCCTCTGTATCTCCTCGTCTTTCTCCTTCAGTTTCTTCACGATTCTCTCCTGGATTGCCGACACTAACAATCTCGATTGCTGCTTTCTTTGCTCTTCGAGTTCCATTCTCACTTTCTCAGTCTGTCAAAATAGCCATAGAAACCAAAATCAGAACAGAGGAATAAAATGAATTTTCTAAATTTCATGACAATGCTCTGTCTCATGGCCAAGAAAACTGAAGGAGATAAGAAAAAATGAAAACCCAGGTTTTTGGATTTTTCGTTCATTATGGTGAATGGCACAAGGCTTTATAGAAAGCATGAGTGAAAATTTACTACAAGCTTGGCCTAAAACAGGGGAGAGAAACAGAGGAATATTGAACAAAGAGAAAAAAGAAGGGGAAGATATAAAAGATGGTAGAGGAATCAAACTTACATGTTGGGCGATGAAGCGATCGATCTCAGATTGCTGTTGTTGGATCTGAAAGGCAATGTCTTGGTCGATAAAAGACGAGGCACCAACGGACATTTTGGTCTTCTGAGGGACTGAGAAATTGTTGAAGTCGTTGATTAATTGGTCTCTAGGCCGCTTTCTAGGAGCAGATATGTTGTTGTATGTGAGACCACTCTCCGCCTGCTTGTTCATCGAAGCTTTATTTGCTTCACAGAAAGGCGATTGGTACATGGGAAGCAGATTTTCAGGCATTGTTGTGGACAAAAGCAGGCCAGAGTCCATCTGTGTACTGTAAATATTGGCGTTTCCTTGGTTGGTTTTGATGAAATCTCTGCAAAAATCAAACACAACCCACGTAAGAAAATTGAATACCAGAGAAAACCCATGTAGAAGAAGGTGATTTGAAGGCCTGGCATGTACCTATTTGGGATTAACTGAGATGGGATAAGACCCGCATGGTGGTGGTGCTGAGCTTCAACTGCCATGAAGAAGAAAGGTTGGTTGGTTCTGCTATGCTTTTCTTGTGATTCTTCTAGCTCTTCTTGCTCTGTTGCTGTTGTTGTTGTTCGAGAGAAAATATAAAGAGAAATGGAATGAGAGCTTCAAGAGAATGAAGATGAGATGAGGCAGAAAGCACGCAATAGAGGTGGCGACTAGAGAGCCTGAATCAATTTATTAGGCTGAGGCAGAGAGAGAGAGAGAGAGAGCAAAAGTTAAAGGTGTTCCCAACAAAGAAAAATCCCATTTTTATACAATAAAAAATTTAAAACTTTTTTAATTTGAAAAAAGAAATAAAACTTAAAAAAGAATCCCAAAAAAAAATTAATTGTAAAACATGGAAGTGACAGATTTTGTCAGATTTGGTCCAATTTAAGTTTTGTTGATTTTTCCTTATCCGGAGAAAAAACCTCCCTTCACATTGCATTTACTCATGGATTTCGTCTGGTCTTTCCGTAATTAGACCAAAATTCCAGGGATAGTAACGGAACTTCCGGAAGCTGACTGGGCTTTTTTTTTTTAATACCAAAACGCTGTGATTTTCTGCAGTTAATGGCGTTGCAGCATATCCGCCACGTATCCGATGGCGTGGTGCCCTCCGCAGAAGGCTGCCACGTCACCAAAATGGAGCCAAAGGACTTTTCCTGAAACCGGCACAGCACAGGCACAGGCACAGCAGCAGGGCACTCGTTGTGTACGTGACTTTTTATTATGGGATTTTGAGGAGAGTGGGGCCCATTGGGCACTGTCCCACGTGTGACGGTGTGTGCGTGTGAGGACAATAAAGCTGACCCACTAGCCACGTCTGGATGGGGCCCCCACTCTGTCCTTTGGGAATGGAGGTGGGGACAGACATTGTGGGGTCAACATTTCCGTTTCGCAGCGGTTTCCCCGTTTTGCTACCTTGTCCCCTTCCTTTAACTGGCGGTCTCCGTGTACGGACAAATCAAGGGTGGAGGGTGAGTGATCCGGTGCGGCACGGGTCCACCAGTACTGTGCGCCTTCATTCACTGTCAACAAATTAATGATCGCTTCCAAACTTTTTTCAAGTGTGGTGTGTGTTGGGGCGGTGTTTTTTGATTTGTCTGTCTCTTAGTCAAACTGTGCACACAATAATAATCTTTGATTAGTAAAATAATTAATTCATAAACATTTGCGTATTAATAGGAAATTAGATCGCATCAAGTTTACTTTGAACCACTTAATTAAGAAGTACAGCTATGGATGAACAAATTAGGTTGAATTAAGTGCATGCCAATTGAAATTAATTATTGCTTAACCCATAAGCACATGTGATTTCTTTTGGCTTAAGGGCCCTATAATCTTTTTCCTAGCTGTTTTATTACCCTTTCAGATACCAAATCCTTAGGGTGGTTAAGGTATGTAACACTCCATAGACTTTTTTTTAATTTCTCCAGTTGCCAACTAGGGTTAATATTTTTTTTATTTTTTAAACTTGCATTTTGTTGAAGTGAAAGTAACTTGAGCCAAAACTCAAGGTGGGTTAGTTTTTGTTTTTATTTTCTAATTATGGGTTAATTTTTATTAACCGAAAGAGAGAAAGAAGAAATTAGACTTGCCATAAAAAGATTCCATGCAATGAGATGATGAGACCATTCTGAGTTGTATGCTTATCTCTTGTATTGTAAAACACAACTTGTCCCATGTGAGAACTTTTCTTTTTTGTTTTTGTGTTTTTGAGGAGTGTAGATCCAAACGAGTGATTAGAAGAAAACTAAACTCTTCCTAAAATGGATTCAAAAAAAGTTTGGCTTCTTCTTTCCCATTAAACAAGCATCAAATTCAGTTTATATTGAGTAGGTTATACCTTCTAAGATTCCCTCAAATTAAGAGTAAAACATGAATCAAACATGCCATTAATATAACTTGTAATTAATTTTAATCTCCGAACAATCCGACTGCTAATGGTATGAAATTTTTTATGAATGCAATCTCCCTACCGTTTGACAAATAATGCATATACATGTCACATTGCCTATCTTCAATTTTACACGAAATGCAAACTCTTCTCCAATTTTTGGAATTTAGGTCACTCGTAAAGAATACGTCATATGGAGTAATTTTCTAATCACTCCCAAATAATTTCATGGCATTACATTTTTGTTTTATAGTCAAAATCACGTATATGTTTTTAATTCTCCCATTAAGTTCTTTCCTAACAAGTACAAGAAATATTAAAGTCCTACCAATTTTCACAACCTGCAGTACCAAAAATATAGAGAACATTAACTTAGAGTCAAAGTCAATGGTAAAGTTGCCGCAGATAAAATGACCAGCAATGAAGTGAAATTATTGGCATCTATAAATTTCTGAGGCACCAAAATTGAATTTGGGGGGCCAAAATGTGCAACCAAATTATGGGGTATTGACCAAATTGAATTTGAGAGAACAGTAACCCCACCTTGTCTGAAACTATCTAACATCTTCTTTAATTCCCTCACAAACACGCACAATCGAATAGGAAAGAAAAGGAGAGCATAAAGAAAAGGAAGGAAAAGAAAAGCATTTGCCACCAGAAAAAAGATAGCAAATGTAAATGTAGACAGATGGATTCCCATATCCACTATCTCATCTCTCATCTCTCTCTCTCTCTCTCTCTCTCTCTCTCTCTCTCTCTCTCTCTCTCTCTCTCTCTCTCTCCCTCTCCTCTTTTTCCTTCCTTGTATTATTGCTTTGCATTCATCATCCCATTTGGGCTCATAACGTATGCTTCACTTTAACCACCTCAAAAGAAAATAAGGGTAAAATACAAACCAAAGAAAAAAGGCATGCAAACACGAAACAAGGAGATAGACGGAAAATCAAATCATGCATTGACTATTGCATGCTGCACTGTTAAGAATGCTTACATATATTAGTAGTAAAATATCTTTATACAAGCGATATTAAGAGAGGGAAATTCGAATACATGATCTTTGAATGTATGCATTGGCTTGGAATTGAATCTGTCAAAAATTAAAGGCACTAAAAATAAAAAAGGATAAAGTTTATGGTTATGCTTATCTTATCAGATTTGTTTTCGATTTGACAAATACAAAACATACTAATAACAAACCCCTCCTAGCACATGACAGAAAAAGCTTAACGTACATAATATAGTTTGTTTAAAATATGGAACATAATGGCATATTCTAGCTTTGTGTTTGTTCCACAAATTATGATTCCTAGGTGGGGTTTTTTTTTAATGATCTTTTTTATTGAGCTATTAAGCAGGATGACAGCGTACTAAACTCACATACACTATACATATGCTAGGACTCGAACCCAGAATTTTTCTTAGGAAGAGCATTTGATCCAAATTACTACACTACTGAGTTCTTTGCCCTACGTGGAGTCTTAATAGTGGCTTAAAACCCACTGTTTATTTTCTTTAATTGATTTATAGCTGGTTCAAATTTAGATTTATTTTAGAAGTTTCCAATGAAGTTCCTAGAATTGCATCTACCTTTTCACTTCACATCTAGTGTTGCAAGCATCAATGGCCACTAGCCAGCCATGCCGGCCCCTTATTTCTCCTTTTATATCCTCAGAGGTCGGTTTTATATGCCAACCACTCGGAAGATCCCATGATGATTCTAAAAGTTTTCAAATGTGGGAACCACACAAGTAGAAAAAAATATATATCATGATGCAAAAGCATCTAGATATGTATGGTGGTTCTGATAACCAAGAAGCATATCTCCTTGTTTAATGTTATAAGCACTATGATTACTTTCCACTTGGATTATCTTGTTCGAAAAGCTAAAAACTAAATGATAAAAGTAAGAATAACAATGAATTGACGTTTTCATTTGGCTTTATATGGAAAATATGATGGCTTTCACATATGAATTTGAATCATTTCGACAAAAAATAAACAAGAATTTAAATTAATAATTAAGTAGATTCTTGTTTAATATGTTATTTCTTGATAATTTTGCATTGTGACTAGGAATTTGAACTATTGGATATAGTAACTCTTGTTCGAATGCCATGTGTTTGGATTCATAATTGGACAATATGATGTGTAAGATTGCCCCGTAAAAAAAAACGTAATTATTATAGAAAAATACTCTCGAATACCATTATTACTATAGCAAAGTTCTCAAATAACACTATCACTATAGCATGTAGTTCCATTATATCGATATCATCTCCATATTATGGAGATACTGTCGATATTAAAGTATTATGTTGACATCTAACATTTTTAAAGGGTACATAAATAAAGTATCAATATTCTGTTGGTGGTGTCGATTTGACAGAGTAATGATGTTATTTGAGAATTTTGTAATAGTAAGTGATATTTGAGAGTATTTTCCTTAACTTAATGAAGTAAATATAATCTTGGAAGGAAGCGGTGAAGTAGGATTGGGAAGCTTTTCTGAAGTGGGTAGCTAAATGATCAAAGCTAGTGAAACGGAAGTCATGATAAAGTCATCATGCTTTTATGCTAAAGCAAAAACGAGCACTCGGTCCCTCCAAAAGTCCAAAGATCCGTAATTTGAGGACATATGCTTAATTAAATGTGATTATTGATTTAATTGACAATGAAACCAACCCAATTAGTGAAAATTAGGTCAGTCATTGAGATCAGATGATTCGACACCACTATGTCGTGTTCATGAATGCCGCCGCCTCAATTGTTAATCAAATGCTTAATGTGGAACTTTCCCTAAATTAGCTCAATTTAATATCCTCGGATGTTCCAGATGATATGCATATGCATGGGCAATACAAGACGCACTTTTCAAGCATTGATGTAATAATACAAACAAGTAAAACCACAATTTATAAATTTTAATTATAAATATCTCATTCTTTGATTGTTGATGAATAAAGTTTCTCTCGTTACTTTATTATAGAGAAAAATATGAAATTAGTCCGGACGAAGATTCCTATGTGCTCACCTAAAGGCACTTTCAACGCTGTTGAAATAAAGAACTAATTCTACCCATGTTTTAAATAATTAGATTTGGTTAGACTG